AAGGTGAAACCCCGTCTCTACTAAAAATACAAAAATTAGCTGGGCATGGTGGTGCGCGCCTGTAGTCCCAGCGACTCGGGAGGCTGAGGCAGGAGAATTGCTTGAACCCAGGAGGCGGAGGTTGCGGTGAGCTGAGATCGTGCCATTGCACTCCAGTCTGGGTAACAACAGTGAAACTCCATCTCAAAAATAAATAAATAAATAAATAAAAAGAAAAAGAAAGAATAAATTCAACTTTGTGGTGGAGGAGCAGGAATAAAGCGACAATGAAATTAAGAGATTATAAAAAGATTCTCCTTGATCATATAGGATGATGAGAAAGATTGTCCCTATTCACATTATTATGGAAGATAGGGAGGTTGGTTAAAAATATTTCATCTATTTTCTATTTCAATCTGTAGAAGGTACACCTGCCCCTAAATAGCCCACAGTGCACAGTCTCTTCGGAAGGAGAGACGGCAAAGTTAACAGTGACTTTGAGAGGGAACTCTGGTAGACTGAATAATGCCACCTGCCAAAATGTCCATATCCTAATCCTTGGAACCTGTGAATGTCACTTTATCTGGCAAAGACTTTGCAGATGGTTTTAAATGATGTGAGATGGGGAAATTACCTAGATTACATAGGTGGGCACTAGGGAGGCAGGCTGGGCACACTGACTCATGCCTATAATTCCAGCACTTTGGGAGGCCAAAGCAGGAGGATCACTTGAGGCCAGGAGTTCAAGACCACCCTGGGCAACATCGTGGGATCTTGTCTCTATAAATGCTTTTACAAAATCAGTCAGGTGTGGTGACATGCACCTGTATTCCTAGCTACTTGGGAGGCTGAGGCGGGAGGATCACTGGGGCCCAGCAGTTCCAGGCTGCAGTGAGCTATGACTGCACCACTGCAGTACAGCCTGGGCCACACAGCAAGATCCCATCTCTTAAAAAAAAGAGACATATTTGACAAAACACAGAAGAGGAGGAGTCACAGAGGCAGAGATTATAATGATACAGTAATAAATCAAGTAAAAAACCAAGGTCAGCAGCCACCAGAAGCTGGAAGAGACGAGGAACGGATTCTCCCCTAGAGCTTCTTCAGGGAGCACAGTGCTGCCAACACCTTGATTTTGGCCCAGTAATACTGATTTTGGATTTCTGGCCTCCAGAACTATGAGAGAACAAATTTCTGTTGGTTTAAGCCACTAAAGTTGTGATAATTTGTTACAGCCGCCACAGGAAACTATTATAAGGTACTAATTCAGCATTTCCAAAAATTGGAACTATTCAGCTCAACCCAGTTAACTCCAGTCACTTACAGAAAAGAAGCTGTCTGTGATTCTGAGGAAAAGGAACAACTAAACAGAAAATAGCACACAAGATTCATTTGTTCAACTTAGTGGAATAGCAGGGCAAAATCTCCAATCATACAGCCATATTGCTACATAAAAGGATAGCAACAATCCTAAAACAACACATTTGAAGAAGGAAATGTAGCAGTTACAGAGCAAGGAATGTGAGTTACTCAATCCTGCCAGTTTAGAGATTGCCAGATGTCAAACATCAGAAAGAGACTATATGCTATGGCATAGAAAAGAAAATGGCAGAGTAAATGGTAATGCAGAACAATACCTATCATTTACAGTTTCCAAAGCATTTCCAAATGCACAATAATAGCAACCACACTGAGTACCACGTGCTACATACTTTCTATTCCTTATCTAATTTAATCCACACAAAACTATCAGAAGTACTATAATACCCATTTTACAAAAAGTAAGCAAGTTAAGGAACAGAAATGGCAGAACTGGATTTAGAAACAATGTTTGTTTGGCTCCAAAGTCAATCCTCTTTCTATTGGGCTAGTCTGCTTTATTACACCATTAATCCTCTCACACATGCGCGGTAAAGTGGACTGTGAGCTCCATCAAGATAGGGACTAAGTATCTGCCTTGTCCACCACTGCATCTGGTGATCAATAAATATTTGTTAAATGAATGGAGAGAACAGATGAGGCATACAGAGATCAAGCAACGTCTCCAAGATCACACAGCCAACTATTTGGCAGGGCTGGGTCCTCTGATTCCAAATCCCATGCACTACAAACTTATTAAGATCCTACAGAACAACAAGGTGAAACCCTGTCTCTACTAAAAATACAAAAATTAGCTGGGCATGGTGGTGTGCGCCTGTAGTCCCAGCTACTCGGGAGGCTGAGGCAGGAGAATTCTTGAACCCAGAAGGTGGAGGTTGTGGTGAGCCGAGATCGCGCCATTGCACTCCAGTCTGGGTAACAACAGCGAAACTCTGTCTCAAAAAAAAAAAAAGATCCTACAGAATACGCAGCTATGCGTGTATCTTGGGTAAGTGGGTGAGGGAGGCAGATAAAGGACAGAAACGTGTTTTTAAATAAATAAATAAATAAATACTGATATCTGCACATGAGTGAAGGTAGATCTAAAGACTGACTGCGAAAGGTGAATTCAGAGCATTCAGGAAGAAGATGAAGGATGTTAATTGAAGGTGATGTGGTAAAGCATTGCTGGATGAGGGAATGAATTGTCTAGTCAGAGGCCAAAGTAAATTGCTTTCAGGGGAATACAGCCATTCCCCCAGATACCACGCCATCAGTCACAAGGGTATGTGAGTACATGCCAGTGGCAGCTCTGCCTAAGAACTGAAGCAGAGTAAGTGATTCCATGTGGTGAAGAACGTCTGAGCCAAATGGGCAGAGATTCTGCTTGCCTGAAGCTGAACTATCTGCCAGACTCTCCTAAAGTACTGGCTGGACACCCAGACTGGAAATGAGAAACTCAAGAATAATGAGAAAGACTGCGATGGGAGGATGGGGCGAGAGGAAAGAAAATCACCACAGAGTCTGAAGCCTGACTAATCGCCTTTTGTCAGCACAATCCCCTTGTTCCTCATCCTTGCTAAGGAAATGAAAGTTTTTACAGGATGCCCAGTTTAGGAGCCAAAGCAGAGGCTCTCCAGGTAACACAAACAAGAAAAAGGGTGTACTCCTCTGTAACGTTAATAAATGCCTATGGAAGCCTTCAGATGCAGTGTGACTACTAGGGGTTCCTCCTGTGCCCAGAGGCAAAAACCTTCCCTTGATCTTGACTTAGAGACTTCAAGTAGTAGGACAGTAGCCAATAGCAGTTCCATCACACCGCCTTGTTAAATCCAGGGATTACATTAGAAAAATAACAATATTTCCTCATGAGTTTCGGATTCATCCATTTGCATCCCCAGCACCTGGCAGAGTGCCTGCCCTATAGTAGGAGTTCAAATTGTATGAAGAACAAAGGGAAATTGATGATAATGAATCATTAGGCACATACAGCAAAATGGCTCTAAAAGTCTGTTTTCATAGGAATTTTTTGGTTTACATTATCAGGATTCAAGACTGGGAAAAAATGAAGCATGTTATACTTAAGGAATGACGAACCAACAAATTTGAGATAACGATCATTTTTAGGTACCCATTAGATGTCAGTTGCAATGTCTCAGTTAATCCATATTGTAACCCTTAAGGAAACTGAAGCTCAGTGAGGTTAAGTCCATTCCCCAAAAATTTAGCTGGTAAGTGACAAAGATCTCCAAAGCCTGCGTGTGTTCTTTTCACTAAACTTTCTGAAAAAAAAAGAAAATCTACCGAAAAGCCCTGTAACTTTTCTCCATATTGTTAAAACTAGAAAATTGAAGGTATAGTCACTTCCAGGTCAAGTAGGACCTGGCCAAGCAGATGGAAGGAATGTCTTTTTTTTTTTTGTTTTGAGACAGTCTTGCTCTGTCGCCAGGCGCCAGGCTAGATAGAATGCAGTGGAACGATCTGGGCTCACTGCAACCTCTGCCTCCCGGATTCAAGCAATTCTCCTGCCTCAGCCTCCCGAGTAGCTGGGACTACAGGCCCGTGCCACCAAGCCCAGCTAATTTTTGTATTTTTAGTAGAGAGGGGGTTTCACCATGTTGGCCAGGATGGTTTCCATCTCTTGACCTCGTGATCCGCCCGCCTCGGCCTCCCAAAGTGCTGGGAATACAGGCGTGAGCCACCGCACCCGGCCAGGAGGGATGTCTTATAAATCCCAGGCTTAAATTCTGTATTCCATACTCTTCACTGTATCTTCCTTATTACTTACACTATAATCTCTAACTCAAACTCAGGACACTACACTGGTTAAACAAAAACGACAAAGAAAACCCTCACATCCCTCTTTCCAGAAATTAGACATCTTTAAGACGAAGATTTCTAACCCAAATAGAGTTTCTAACCTGGCGCATTTCCACAGAATCTAACATTGAAAGAGCCAAGGCCTGGGATTTATCCTCAGTTCCTGGGCAAGGGCCAGGAAAACAGAGCCAGACAGCAAGGCCGGAGTTGTGAGTCTCCATACTAAAAAAGACACCAAAGTAAGGTACTAAGCCACAGGAAGCTGCTGCGGGATCGATGGTACAGGTCCGGATTTAAATGCACAATTATTATGAGTGACTTGCAGAGGCACTGCCGAGTTCCCCAGTAAATCTGAAGTTGCACCGAAATTTCAGAGTGAAGTAAGTAAAGAATTTAAAAGTCAAGGTTAAGGAGCTGAAGCAAATTAACAGGGGAGTCCAAGAACTGCAGAGATGACAGAGGAAAGATTGAGAGGGTGTGGACCTGATCTGAAATAAAAAGACCCCACACAATGGGGACTGGTTCTCAAAGGCAGAGAGATGTTAAGGTATTAAGCCGGAGGAGGAATTCCATTTCTAAAGGAGAAAAGCTCAGGAAGAAAAGCGGATTGTGTCTGGAAAAGGGTCCCTGGAGAATATATTAATAACTCAATAACGGGGAGGAGGCAGGAGGCTTAAACGCGTGTTTGAGTATGCGCGTCTGTGCGTGTGCATAGCCCAGAAGGAAACTCCCCAAAAGGAAATGCATGTGAGGGCTCCATGCCAGGAAAAGCGATCCAGAGGACTGTGGGAGCAAGGCTCCCTTACAGAGGGTGTCGCGCAGGAGGCCAGACTCAGACTCACCTCGGCCATAGCCCTGCGTATGCTTGGCGAAGCTCCTCACCACGGCCTCCACGGCCTCTCGCAGCACTGCCGGACTCCCGGCAGCGCCGGCGGGCAGGGGCAGTCCGGGGGCCCCAGACAGGAGCAGCGGCGGCGGAGGCGGTGCGGGAGGCGGCGGGGCAGGCGGGGGGCCCGCAGGGGGTGTGGCGGCGGCAGCCGTGGCCCCAGTCACTCCGGGCCGCAGCGCTCGGAGAGTGCCCCTCCCGCTGGTGCCCACACCAGGCTGCAGCCTCTGCGCTCGCATCGTCTCCATCCCGGCCGCCAGTGGAGTAGCGCCCCGGAGCCTGCCAGCCTGGCCAGCTAACGGTCCCAACCACCCTAGTCAGCTTGCGCCTGGGGACTGAGGGCGGTGCCCGGGCCGAGCCGTCAGTCAAGTGGGGGCGGGAACGAGCCAGGTCCCATGCCAATCACCAGTGACGGGCGGGAGCTGGAGGGCTCCTGCTCCGCCATAGGCAAATTATTGAGGAGGGTGGAGCTTCTGAGAACCAATTGCAAAGAGAAAAAGCGTACACTCTGAAAGGCAGACGCGGAGCTTGGGCGCGTCTCCGGGAGTCCTGCGGCGCGCACTAGAAAGAAGGCTAGAACCCTGGGGCGGGGCTTGAAGAAATAAAATGGGCCTGGATGTAAGACTGGGGAGAATTACAGACAGAATAGAGATCATTTTGTTCTGCCATTTCATTTTATAAATTGTAGGGGTGGGAACTGTGGCTCAGAGAGGTAATTTGACTTGTCCAACATCACATGCAATTGGTGGTGGAGCTAAGGCAAGAAAGATACTGACGTTTAATGAACATAAACTATGCAATGTACTGTTGTGGCTGTCTTATTTACAATCACTATCACTAACTGGATTTTATTATTTTGAGGGTAAAGAAACAGATGCTCAGGGAGGCTAAATAAATTGCCCAAAATTAAATAACTAAGTGGAATTCAGAGTTTAGACATAGGTGTTCTGTTTCCCAATATTTTTATCTTTTTACTATGCCACATTGTTGGGTAATTTTCTGATTTCACTTATTCTAAGTAGGAGAAGGGAATAAGAGAGAGTAGGATGGGCAATCTCTTTGCCTCCCGTTAGAGTGAGAAAGAGTTAGGGTATATGCAGAAAACTAGCAAACTAAGAAGTCTAGGTGGGGGGATTAAGAAAATTACCCTTGTTCGTATAACGTGTCAGGCTGGGTTCCTCTGATTACTTCGCACACACACACACTTGCACACATGCACACACACACTCTACATAACCTTTATCATGTAGTCACTGTACCATTTTTACTTCAGTGAGGTTATATTAACTGCCTTCCCCCCATCGTCTTTCCTACAGTGGCTCAGAAATCAAAGATGGGGAAATAAAGGCCAGAAGTAGAAGAAAAATAGAAGAAACACACTTGGTGGAATGAAAATTAGACCCCGAATAAAAACTGTGAGTGGTCAGGAAATAGGAAGTTTGAAAAAGAGACAGTTAATCTACTGGGATACATCTGCTGATGATGGAGGGAGAAACTCTTTGTAGGAACCTTAAAGATTTCAAGGTCGAACATAGAGAAAACTGGAGGAAATGAAATCTTGTCGAATGCCTTAAAACCTTTAGGACACGGGACACTTGCCTTTTCTCTATAGCCACAGTTGGTCAGTTGGCTTCTTGGAAAGAAGGTGGCTGGAATGGCTAAGTATCCCCTGGATCATTACAGCTACAGGTTAGTATTACCCTCCCTCCTCATTCCTCATTCCCCATATCCACACCTCCAGGCAGAAGTGACAAAACAGAGACTTCTGAACACATTTATTTGATATGTCAAGTGGAGAGAGGAGTGATTTAGGGTTTCTCCCCACTTCTACCTGTGGGGGTGTTCATAAGCTCAGACAGACAGAAGAGCAGCTTAGAGCCCATGACCCACGCCCTGGGAAACTGAGACAATCTGTTGTAGTTGTTGGAGGAACAGGGTGGGAATAAAAAGCAGGAAGTGGAGAAGTGAAGTTGAGAGCAGGAAAGACAGCAGCAGAACTGAGGCTGGGGGTTGCTGCGGGAACCCCCAAGAAGAGTGAAAAAGATATCCTGAAAAGTGGTTGGGGCTGGAAGCAGGGTGTGACTGAGGAGCCAGGGCTGGAGAAAGAAGCAAGACCTGCAGAATGGGCTAGGATGTTCATGGAGAGTAGTGTGCGAAATTAGGATAGGCTGTGTTGCAGAGCATACGTGGAAAGCAAGGGACTGCTTCTGCAGGAGGGCAAAGACATCGGAGACTGCCCATAAGTAGGGGTTCCCTACTGCTTCTGAACAAATGCAAGAGAGTTTGGGACCCTAGCCCTGTGTGTTTATTGGTGAGCTGTGCCTGTGGGTACACAAGTAATCCCATATGCATGTGAAATGACCAGGGCATGAATACATGTGTCTATATATCCAGTAAGTAGAGTACTTATTCTTTCTTGCTAATAAGAGTACTGTGCTTATGGACACATGCTTAACCATGTGTGGGTGCCCCGTTCACCCATGAGCACATGCAAGGGATCCCTGTTTTCCTGGTGTGTGTGTGAGCGGTTCTCCCACCTACCCCATTAAGGTCCTGGTCCCCACCCTCCTTGGGTCCTCTCACTCCTCTCAGCGCCCTGGCTCCCCAGGCCCACCTAGACTCTGGAAGCCCCCTAGCAGGCGGAGCTGCTCAGTCTGCATGGAGTGGCGTCTCACCAATTTGCGTTTGGTCCTGGGAGAGCCTGGCGCCCCTGCATAAGGAGGGGCAGGCAGCGAGGGTGCCCGACCTCCGGGTTGAGGGCGAATGTCGGGGATGGGAGGGTGGGGACTGACGTTGAGAGGGGGCAGGAAACCCGGCCGCGTTTGCGAGATGTGGTCCAGGAGCAACGTCCCCGAGCCCCTCCGCTCCAGCAGGCCCGGACTCCGCCTTCGTCCGCTTAGCGGAGATACTGCCCCTGGCAGACTCTCTTGGGACTGGCGCGGAGAGGGAGCCGACCCGGCTGGAGGGAGGGTCAACGGGGAGGCGCTGTATCGGCGGCGCTCCAGGGACAAGCGGCTGGATTCTGGCGAGTCAGGGCATAGATGTCCGGGGGTGTCGAGCTCCACTGGCTCCATGCGGCTCAGTTTCTGCCTCAGCCCTGAAGGGGGACCAGACTCCTGAGCTTCTGGTGCTGTGTTTCGGCGCGAGAGAGGACCCCCGCAAGTCACTTTCTCCGCCCATGGGGGCGGGTCCTCAGGGCCTTCGGTGCTGTGACGTCGGGAAAGACGGGGTCGACCGGTCAGGGTCAGGCCGTTGAATTCGGCAGTCAAGCGCTCGATCCCCGGTCTCCCTTCGGTGGGTGGGATTGGTTGAGGAGGGGCCACTAGGCCCCAGGGCTCGGAGTTGAGCCTTTTGAGTGGTTTTGGGGGATGGCGTGGTGGTTTGGGGAGCGGCTCGGAAGGGGAGGGGTCATCGGGGGGCTTAGGAAGAGGGAATTCAAATACGTCCCGCTTCTCCTCTTCTTCCTGGGCGCGAGGGGATAACATCCCTCGCCCTCCTCCTCCTGCGGTCTGCAGTTGGATTTCCGAAGGCGACGTGCAGACCCCCGGGCTAGGAGGAGCGGGAGCAGGATCCTCCACCCCTGGGGATGGTGGAGAATTGAGATACTGCCGGGTCTTCTTGGTGCCCGAGGGCGAGGTATCAGTGGTGATGATGATGACCTCCGTGCCCTTGGCCTTGCAGGCGTCCAGCAGCGTGGCAAGGGTCTCGCGGTCCCCGCGGTCCAGGGCGTGGACAAGAGCCGAGGCGCCCGCGTGATCTCGGACGGAGGGGTCTGCGCCGTGGGCAAGAAGCAGCGAGGCCACGGCGGCGCCCCCACCCCCGGCGCAAGCGTGCATGAGCGCGGTGCGCCCCAGGCGGTCTGCGATGTTGGGGTCCGCGCCTTGCTCCAGGAGGTAGCGTACCATGCGTGCCTTGTTCTGGGGGTCGTCGTAGCGGGCCCGACAGGCTGCCATTAGCGCAGTTTCCCCCTGCGCATCACCCTCATTCACGTAGGCGCCTCCCTCCAGGAGCAAACGGGCCAAGCGTAGCTTACCCTGACCCACCGCCCGAAGAAGAGCGTGGCCCTCAGTGTGCAACATAGCTGCGGCTGGAGTGAGGGCACAGATGGAGCCGCGACTGAGAACTGCCGAGGATGGCTAGGGGTGTGTGGGGGGGTGGATGGCAGAGGCCTGAGGTCTCAGTGACGAAGCCGATCCCTGCAAGAGAGAGATCTTATTGATAGATTTGGCAGGGAAATTGAGGGATGCAGGGACCCAGCGTGGGGTGAGGGAGCTCTTCACGGCATTATAGTCCTTCCTCTAACTCACGCCTTTGAGCTGGCCCTTCCCCCGCAGCGCATGCCTGAGGAGGTGGGAAGGGTGCACCCGCACTGAAGGACTAGCGTGCGTGCAAATGCGTTCGTGCACGCGCAGGGATGTCCGCACCCCCGCCCTCACCCCATGGCTTATCAGACCTTTCCTGTATCCCCCTTTTCTTATCCACACTTGGGATCCCCCTTTCTAGGATGCTGAACGCCACCCACCCACACACATGGACCCTACAGTTACACACGTATTCTCATTCCTAACCTCTTTTAGCTTGCCACAGCCCCAAAAATTGAGTGGGGGGAGGGAAGCATCCTGCATTTGGGACCTAAAACGGGTGGAGGGACAATTGGGGGATTCTTTTGCCCCGGCGTTGTTCCCCATCACTCCTTGCTCTTTCCCCTCCCAGCCCGTGCGCCCAGATAGATACCTGAATGTCCGCAGAATCTCCGCCTGGCCAGGATTGGGGCCGTGGCCACGGGGCAGCCGAGGTGGCAGAGCCAGGTTCCTGGGGGCCCGCATGGCGTGGAGGGGGGGGCACCCGGATTCCCTTGGTGTCAGTATCTGCGCCCCGGCGCCGGATCCGGGTCCCTCCTCCCGGAGCGCCCCGGGCACAGCGCCGGCTCGGGAGGAGAGAAGCGGGGGGGGGCGGAGCTCTGCTGTGCTATTTATAGCCTAGTCTCTGCGGGTGGGGGCGTCGGGCACCAAGCTGCTCCCCCACTCATGCACACATAAACCCTCAAAAAACCTAGAGGCTCCAATCCTGACTTCCCTTCAGTCCCAACAAACCTAAGTGTTCCTTAGGGGACTCTGCGACCCAGACAGGGACCATCATGAAGATTCTTCGCTGAGCTTCAGCAGATCCCCATTCTCCGCACTTTGTGTGTTTATGCGCTCCTGTGCGCCAGAGTTGACCTGCCACACACACGGCACATGGCACACTGGGCAGAAGGCTGTAGAGAGGCTTTTTGGATCCATACCCGGTGTCCATACTGTGCAAAGAGAGGCAAGAGATGTGGCTGTCTTCCTGGAGTTTAATTGTGAAGGAGAGCACGGTCCAGCCTGGAGTCAGACACAGATACACCCCCGCCCCATCTCTCAAAAACGGAACAACCATCACAGAGAAATTTGGACCTCAGCTCCCTTATATAAACCTTTTAGATAACTATAAGGAAGGTGGATACGGGGACACTTTTAGATAGGGCAAGGGACATTCCCAGGTGCCTCCACCCATATTACTGTGGGAAGGGAGATAGGAAACGGGCAGGAAGAAGAGCGAACCTTGCAATACAGTCTCTCATTGCATCTCTTTAATCTCAGTCTTGCTTAGACGTATTATTTTTTCCATCTTGCTTGAAGGTCTGTCTGAAAGGCTCCTTCCATCTTCTCTCTTCCTATCCGTCTATTGGTCTCTCACACTGTCTCTGCCTCTCCTTGCCACCTGCCCTGTCTCCATGGTTACCATAGCTTCCATCTACATATTTTGGTACTGAGTTTGTGTCCAGCTGGAAGGCACCAAGGGAAGTGGGAGAATAAGAAAAATGATAAGGATTTGGAAAGTTCACTCAGGGTCCTGAGCTAATGCAGAGGCTGGAGACCCCCCAGATGCAAGATACTGAAAATAGTTTTCCCAGGGATGGTAGAGAGAGAAATATTTGCAGGAAGCTACCCATTTTTTTATTATTATTATTAAGTTGGGGTTTCACCATGTTGGCCAGGCTGGACTTGAACTCCTAACCTCAGGTGATCCACCCACCTCGGCCTCCCAAAATGCTAGGATTACAGGCGTGAGCCACCGTGCCCGGCCTGAAGCTACCCATTTTTACTAGTCTGTTCTTGGACGCGTGTCAACTATGTGCCATGTGCCTTACATACACTATCTTCAGTCCTCACAGCTCTCTAAGATAGGAACTATCATCTTGTTACAGATGAAGAAACAGACTTAATAAGGTTAAGCAAGTTCTCCCAAGCTTCACAGCTAAATTTGTGTCCGATGGCAAAGACTGGGCACTTGCCACTACGCCTATGGCCACCCAGTCTACAGGCCGTTTTCTCTAACATCTGGGATGTTCTTCTTGACTAACTCCTAGATTTTATCTCCATTCTGAACTCTTTCCCCGTTTATGTTTTTGTGTGTGTGAAAATAGGACTCCTCTTTCCACTCTGCCCCGTTTCCCAAGGGGCTTGCAGGAGGTGGAAGGTAGTGGAAAATGCAGAAAAAGTCTGGGCGTGGTAGCTTGCGCCTGTAATGCCTACATTTTGGGAGGCCGAGGTGGGCGGATCATGAGATCAGGAGTTCGAGACCAGCCTGGCCACTATGGTGAAACCCCACCTCTATATGTAAAAATTCTTTTTTTAATAAAAATAAGAAAAATGCAGAAAAAGCTGGGCTCCTGCCCTGTCTCTCCTAGTATTCTGATCCCAAATCCTTCCCTCCTCAAACCCTCTGCCCACCTTCGCACAGACGCGGCAGCAACCCACAGAGAAAACATTTTTAGAAAAGAAGTATCCATTGGTGGTTCTGGAGAGAGGCAGTGTAGGATTGAAAGGAAGGCTGGAGTAATGGAGAAGGGACCAAGCTGTGAAGCCAGAGCCACAAAAAGACTGATCCCTAAAGAGCGGCTTTCACAGGGGTTTATTTCTCCGTAGGCCCACGTCTCTTATGGCCTCTCTGGGGGGCTCCCTCAACACAGTTCCTCGATGAGATATGAGTGTCACGCTCCCTCGGTGAACTCTCGCCTGCCAGGGGCTCCTTCATCTGGAGTGAGACCGGAAATAAGTGACCGCAGGTGATTCTGCAACTCCAACTCTCTCCGCGACCTGCTCCGCAAGCCTGGGTTCCGGCGGACTCGCTCCCTCCCTCCCTCCTTCTCTCCGGAGGCTTCGGGAGGGCGGATCTCCCTCCTCGGCTTCTCCGGCATTGGCCGAGAGAACTGACCAATGGGGAGCTCCGGGAGGCGGGCCTAAAACGCCGCCGCCTGGAGGAAGCCCAGTACATTTCAAGTTGGCCGCTTCCTGGGCTCCGCGTGCGGGAGGGGCAGCAGGTAAGGCTCGGACCTGGTGGCTCGGACCTGGTTCGGTCCCACACTTCCCGAGCTTGTTCATCCCGGCCAGGCTGCGAAAGAGACAACGCTTTCCAGCGGGTTGTTGGATCAGCCTCTTTCTAATCCCTACTCTTTTTCTCCTGGGCTCGCATTTCTGTGTTGATTGTATGCTAGAGAATGGTAGTTTTCTGTCGCGCGTGGGGAGAGAGATTAAAGCAGAAAACGAGACAGCCTCTTGTACCTCTCTTTGGTATAGCATCGCCTTCCCCCGAATCCCTTAATATTATCCCAAGAGCCTGACGAACCCCTGTTATCTGTGAAGACTAGCGGAAATACTACCTTCTACCTGTAGTTTTTCTGGGCCGCCTTTCTTGCAAAATGAGTTGTTCCCCCGTCTGACGATACCGTTTTGTGTGTACCTTTATTAGAACACTTAGTGCACTCTCTCCCTTTAACGTTTCCATGCTTTTTAGAATAGAAGGTTTTGTAGGACAGGTGCTAGTAGTTAATACGTAGCACCCAATAAACATTAGTTCAATAGAGTTGGTTTCTGGCAACTAGTACTCTTTTGGGGGAGGCAGAATTTAAACTCCTAACATAACTAGGGAACAGTAAAAGACAATACAGTATGTAATTAAGAGCCGTTAAATTAGTGGTTCATAATATTAGGGTTTCATAATTGTTTCTACAATCTAGAGAGGGAAGAAACCAAGGAGAACTGGAATGGTGAGGGGAGACTATGGATCACAAGGTCTCAAGTTCGGAAGGGCCCATAGAAGTCATGTATTTATTCATTCATTCAACAAATATTTACTGAGCAACTACTGTATGCCAGACACAATGCTAAACCATGGTCATCATAGGGAATCCTCTACGAGAGCCAGGCATCCTTCTTCAACAAACTATTTAGTAAGTTATTACTCAGCTTCTATGTAACATCTTTAGTGAGGGAACTCTCTTACCTCTCTTGTAGTCATTCCATTGTTTAACATCTGTTCTTTAGTCAATATCCAACAAATATTACAAATAAATAGATAGCTCAAGGAAATGCATTTTACACTTCCACTGTAAAAGAGGGATCTCTGGCGGGCGCGGTGGCTCACGCCTGTAATCCCAGCATTTTGGGAGGCCGAGGCAGCCAGATTACCTGAGGTTGGGAGTTTGAGACCAGCCTGACCAACATGGAGAAACCCTGTTTCTACTAAAAATACAAAAATTAGCCAGGCATGGTGGCACATGCCTGTAATCACAGCTACTCAGGAGGCTGAGGCAGGAGAATCGCTTGAACCCGGGAGATGGAGGTTATGATTAGCTGAGATCCGCCATTGCACTCCAGCCTGGTCAACAAGAGTGAAACTCCATCTCAAAAAAAAAAAAAAAGAGAGAGAGAGAGGAATCTGTCCCTCCTCTACAGTGGAAGTGGTAGCATTCTTAAACGCAAGTCATTTCTGATTGGGCATGGTGGTTCACGCCTGTAATTCCAGCACTTTGGGAGGCTGAAGTGGGCAGATCACTTTAGCCCAGGCATTCAAGACCAGCCTGGGCAACATGGCAAAACCCTGTATTTACAAAAACTACAAAGACATGGCCAGGCATGGTCGCGCAGGCCTGTAGTTCTAGCTGCTCAGGAGGCTGGGGCGGGAGGGTTGCTTGAGCTGGGGAAGTCGAGGCTGCAGTAAGCCAAGATTGTGCCACTGCACTCCAGCCTAAGCAACAGAACAAGAACCTGTATACAAAAAAAAAAAAAAAAAAATTACCAGCTGCCACCATGAATGTGACAGGTGTCCACTAAACTGACTCACCCTTAATGTCCCACCATAGGGAGTGAATTTAGATGCCTGAACATATTCCCCTTTTAATTTTTTAAATAATATTTATAACTATTCATTTATTGTTAGATTATTTCAGTTATTTCGGAATTTTTGCTACTATAAATAGCTTCGATGAGTATCTGTGACTTACTTATATCTGTGACTGTGTATCTGATGATGTCTTTGGGATAGATTTTTAAAGTGAGATTGCTGAATTAGGGATATAAATCTTTCTTTCTTTCTTTCTCTCTCTGTCTCTCTCTCTCTCTTTCTTTATTTCTTTCTTCTCTCTCACTCTGTAGCCAGGCTGGAATACAGTGGCACGATCTCTCCTCACTGCAACCTTCGACTCTCTGGTTCAACCAATTCTCTGCCTCAGCCTCCTGAGTAGCTGAGATTTTAGGCATGCACCACCACACCAAGCTAATTTTTTCTTGTTGTTGTATTTTTACTAGAGACAGGGTTTCACCATGTTGATCAAGGCTGGTCTCGAATTCCTGACCTCATGATCTGCCCACCTTGGCCTCCCAAAGTGCTGGGATTATAGGCGTCAGCCACTGTGCTCAGTCAACAAATTCTTATTTCTCTTGTCTTCATGAGACATCTTCTCTCCCATAATGTGTTCTTTTCTTTTCCCTTCCCTCCCATTCCCTCCCCTTCCCTGCTGTACCCTCCCCACTCCCTCCCTCCCCCACTTTCTCCTTTCCTTTCTTTCTCTTTCTTTTCTTTCTTTTATTGACAGAGTTTTGCTCTTGTGACCCAGTCTGAAGTACAGTGGCATGATCTTGGCTCACCACAACCTCTGCCTCTGGGGTTCAAGTGATTCTTCTGCCCCAGCTTCCTGAATAGCTGGGATTACAGACATGTGCCACCACACCTGGCTAATTTTTGTATTTTTAGTAGAGACGGTTTTTTTCCATGTTAGTCAGGCTGGTCTTGAACTCCCAACCTCAGGTGATCTGCTCACCTCAGCCTTCCAAAGGGCTAGGATTACAGGCGTGAGCCACCGTGCCCGGCCCCATAATATGTTCTTTTCAAACAGATCAAAGTTTAATTTGTTAACCAACAGCCATTGTTTCCTCAAAATTTTCCTGGCAGTTGGGCTTGAAACTTTTCCCGATTCCTCAGATAGACATTTTTCTGTCTTCTCCTAGTTACAGATTGTTAATCTCATTTAGTGTTCTGTTATTACATTTGAATTTTATTTATTTATTTATTGACAGGGTCTCACTCTACTACCCAGACTGGTACACAGTGGTACAATAATAGCTCACTGCAGCCTCCACCTCCTGGGCCCGAGTGATCCTCTGCCCTGGCCTCCCAAAGTGCTGAGATTACCTCTATGAATCACCACACCTGGCCCATTTTAATGATTTTTAATATTTTAATGTTATTATAGTATTCTATTCAGTATAGAAAAAAACTTAAAGTATATATAATCTGGCTGGGCATGGTGGCCCATACCTGTAATCCCTGCTCTTTGGGAGGCCGAGATGGGCAGATCACCTGAGGTCAGGAGTTTGAGGTTTGAGTCCAGCCTGGCCAACATGACCAAACCACGTCTCTACTAAAAATATAAAAATTAGCTGGGCATGGTGGTGGGTGCCTGTAATCCCAGCTACTCGGGAGGCTGAGGCAGGAGAACTGCTTGAACCCATGAGGTAGAGGTTGCAGTGAGCCGAGATCACACCACTGCACTCCAGCCTGGGTGACGAGCAAGACTCTGTCTCAAAAAAAAAAAAAAAAGATACACAACTCTCCCCACCAAAAAAAACTTGATCCTTCAAGTTGGTTTGAAGGTTAATTTTTGGTACCTATCCTTCAATAACAGGTTTTTAATTCATATGTGTGTATATATTTCTGACAAGAGATTACTATCTACATATTATTTAAAATTTTTTTTGCACCAACTAATGTCTTGTGAATTTTGAATTGCTACTTGATTTTTGTTCTTGCTTGAGACAGGGTCTCACTCTGTCACCCAGGGTGAGTGCAGTGGCATGATCACGGCTCACTGCAACCTCTGTCTCCCGGGCTGAAGCAATCCTTCCACCGCAGTCTCCCACGTAGCTGGGACTGCCAGCATGTGCCACCATGCCTGGCTAATTTTTTTATTTTTTGTAGAGATGGGTTCTCACTATGTTACCCAGGCTGGTCTCAAACTCCTGGACTCAAGCAATCACCCCACCTCGGCCTCCCAGAGTGCTGGGATTACAGGCGTGAACCACCACACCCAGCCTCAAGGTTTATTTTTTTATCTTTTAATTAATAGATTTTATATTTCAGAACAGTTTCAGACTTACAGAAAAATTTAACAGATAATGCCAAGGGTTCTCATTTGCCCCAGTGCAGTTTCCCCTATTCACATTGTAGATTTAGTAGAGTATATTTGTTACGATTAATGAATGAATACTTAGTTATTTTGAGGAAACAATGGCTGTTGGTTAAGATATTAAATACATTATTCTTTTTTTTTTTTTTTTTTTGAGACGGAGTTTCGCTCTTGTTACCCAGGCTGGAGTGCAATGGCGCGATCTCGGCTCACCGCAACCTCTGCCTCCTGGGTTCAGGCAATTCTCCTGCCTCAGCCTCCTGAGTAGCTGGGATTACAGGCATGCAACACCGTGCCCAGCTAATTTTTTGCATTTTTAGTAGAGACGGAGTTTCACCATGTTGGCCAGGATGGTCTCGATCTCTTGACCTTGTGATCCACCTGCCTCGGCGTCCCAAATTCTTAACTAAGGTTCATACTTGCTTGACATGTCTTTGGTTTTTACCCATTGCTCTTTTTCTGTACCTGGATCCCATTTAGGATACCACGTTATATTTAGTTATCACGTCTCTTTAGGCTCCTCAAGTGTGACGGGTTTCTCAGACTTTCCTGTTTTCGATGACTGACAGTTTTGTGGAGTTGAGTATACAGGTAGGATGCCTTTCTGCTGGAATTTGTCTGATGTTTTTCTCATGATTAACCTGGGTTTATGGGTTTTTAGGAGGATGATCACAGAGTGAAGTACCATTTTATCATAAGGGCACATACTGAAGACATAATCGCTGAGTACTGACACTGACCTTAATCATCTGGTTGAAATCGTGTTTATCTGTTCTCTTCACTGTGAAGATATTCCTCCTGATTTCCTAAATTATATTGAATTAAATTTCCTGTACACAGTCCACACATAAGAAGTGGGGAGTTATAGCCAGGTGTGGGGGCTCACACCTGTAATCCCAGCACTTTGGGAGGCCGAGGGGGGCAGATCATCTGAGGTCAGGAGTTCGAGATCAACCTGACTAACATGGAGAAACCCCATCTTTACTAAAAATACAAAATTAGCCAGGCGTGGTGGCACATGCTTGTAATACCAGCTACTCAGGAGGTTGAGGCAGGAGAATAGCTTGAATCCTGGAGGCGGAGGTTATAGTGAGCTGAGATGGTGCCATTGCACTTCAGCCTGGGCAACAAGAGAGAAACTCAGTATAAAAAAAAAAAAAAAAGAAGTGGGAAGTCATGCTCCCCTGCTCCCTTTAGGAGGGAGTGTCTACATATTTTATTTGGAATTCTACGTGAGAGATTTGTTTATTCTCCCCCTATAAATAGATGTAGTCATTTATTCATATCACTATAGATTCAGATATTTATCTTATACTTCGGGGTTATAATCTAATACTAGTTTACTTATTTCGTTCCTCAAATTGTTCCAGCTTTGATGTTGGGAGCTTTTTCAGTTGGCTTTTTTTTTTTTTTTTTTTTTTGAGACGGAGTTTCACTCTTGTTACCCAGGCTGGAGTGCAATGGCTCGATCTCAGCTCACTGCAAGCTCCGCCTCCTGGGTTCAGGCAATTCTTCTGCCTCAGCCTCCTGAGCAGCTGGGATTACAGGCACGCGCCACCATGCCCAGCTAATTTTTTGTATTTTTAGTAGAGACGGGGTTTCACCATGTTGACCAGGATGGTCTCGATCTCTTGACCTCGTGATCCACCCGCCTCGGCCTCCCAAAGTGCTGGGATTACAGGCGTGAGCCACCACGCCCGGCCCCTCAGCTGGCTCTTAATGTCCCTTTGACACAGCTTTATCAAAATGTTCATTTTTTTCTTTTTCCTTTTTGAGATGGAGTTTTGCTCTTGTTGCCCAGGCTGGAGTGCAATGGCATGATCTCAGCTCACCGTAAACTGCCTCCCAGGTTCAAGCAATTCTTCTGCCTCAGTCTCCTGAGTAGCTGGGGTTATAGGCATATACCACCATGCCTGGCTAATTTTGTATTTGTAATAGAGACAGGATTTCTCCATATTGGTCAGGCCGGTCTCAAACTCCTGACCTCAGGTGATCCGCCTGCCTTGGCCTCCTGAAGTGCTGGGATTATAGGTGTCAGCCACCACTCCCAGCTATTTTCTTTTTTTCTGCTTTTTGTTTCTTTGACATAGAGTCTCACTCTGCCACCCAGGATGGAGTGCAGCGGTGCAATCATGACTCACTGCAGCATCAATCACCCCAGCCAGAGCAATCCTTCCCAGTAGCTGGGACTCCACATCTGGCTAATTTTTGTATTTTTTATAAAGACGGGGTTTTGCCCTGTTGTCCAGACTGGTCTCAAACTCCTAGGGCTCAAGTGACCTCCCCACTCCAGCCTCCTAAAGTGCTGGGATTATAGGCATGACGCCGGCTAACACCATCAATATGAGAGTGTGGTTGTGGTTTTTAGCACTTTCTTACTTTTTGGTACCTCAAGATGCTCTAGACTCATCTTGTGTATTTCCTACCCTGTCCTAGAGTCAGCTAGGACTCCAGGGAGCCCTGGTACCTTTTACTGGAAAATTGTTTTAGAGACCAAGATCTGAGTGCCAGGTGTGCTCATTGCTACTGGGGTATCATTTCTCTCAAGTTTCCTTTTCATCTGGTGATTTTATTCCCCCATCCTAGCTGCCTCTGACTGGTTTCTCAGGTTTGGTGACAAGAGGCAGAGTGAAAATTCAGCAGAAGGAGAAATTTTGGATTCATCAATGTTGATCACAGTGGAATAAACTGCCTTGGGGGAGAATGGATACCATCTCTTTAGGGAAGTGTCACCAAAAGCTGAATCATAATTCACAGAGTAATGTCAGGCATGGTGTCTCACCCCTTTTAATCCCAGCACTTAGGGAAGCCAAAGCAGGTGGATTACTTGAGTCCAGGAGTTTGAGATTAGCCTGGGTGACATGGCAAAACCCCGTCTCTACAAAACATACAAACATTAACTGGGCTTGGTGGCACATCTGTAGTCCCAGCTACTCAGGAGGCTGAGGCGGGAGGATCACTTGAGTCTGGGAGGCGGAGGTTGCAGTGAGCTGAGATCGCACTGCTGCCCTCCAGTGAAGTCCTGCACTGGGAGAGGCTTAGACTAGATGACCTCTAAGGATCCTCCCAATTGTAAGATTCTGTGCTTCCAAGTGGTATTTAAAAAGATCAATTTTGGGCCGGGTGCAGTGGTTCAAGCCTGTAATCCCAGCACTTTGGGAGGCCGAGGTGGGGGGGATCACCTGAGGTCAGGAGTTTGAGACCAGCCTGGCCAACATGGCAAAAACCCATCTCTAGTAAAAATACAAAAATGAGCTGGGCGTGGTAGTGCACGCCTGTAATCCCATCTATTCAGGAGGCTGAGGCAGGAGAATTGCTTGAACCAGGAGGTGGTTGCAGTGAGCCGAGAGAGTATCACTGTACTCCAGCCTAGGTGACAGAGTGAGACTTCATCTCAAAAAAAAAAAAAAAAAAAATCCATTTTGACCGGGTGCGGTGGCTCACACCTGTAATCCTAGCACTTCGGGAGGCCAAAGTAGGCAGATCATGAGATCAGGGGTTTGAGACCAGCCTGGCCAGCATGGTTAAACTCTGTCTCTACTAAAAATAGAAAAATTAGCTGGATGTGGTGGCGTGTGCCTGTGACTCCCAGCTACTCAGGAGGCCGAGGCAGGTGAATCGCTTGAACTCAGGAGGCGGAGGTTGCAGTGAGCGTAGACTGCACCGTTGCACTCCAGCCTGGGTGACAGAGCAAGACTTTGTCTCAAAAATGAACAAACAAACAGAAAAAGCCAGGCATGGTGGCACACACCTGTAGTTCCAGCTGGAACTTGGGAGGTGAAGGTGGGAGGATCACCTGAGCCCAGGAGGTTGAGGCTACAGTGAGCCATCATCACGCCACTGTACCCCAGCCTGGGTGACAGAAAGAGACCCTGTCTCAGATAAAATAAAAAGATCAGGGCCGGGCGCGGTGGCTCAAGCCTGTAATCCCAGCACTTTGGGAGGCCGAGGCGGGTGGATCACGAGGTTAAGAGATCGAGACCATCCTGGTCAACATGGTGAAACCCCGTCTCTAGTAAAAATACAAAAAATTAGCTGGGCATGGTGGCGCACGCCTGTAATCCCAGCTACTCGGGAGGCTGAGGCAGGAGAATTGCCTGAACCCAGGAGGCAGAGGTTGCGGTGAGCTGAGATCCCGCCATTGCACTCCAGCCTGGGTAACAAGAGCGAAACTCCGTCTCAAAAAAAAAAAAAGATCAATTTGATTGTAACGTCTCTTTTCCCCTGGTTGACAATGAAGCTGATGATTCATCCCTGTGCTCTCACAGTGCCTGGCACACTATTGTTTTCATGGTAGATGAAAAATTAATGCTTTGCTGAATGCATTGCATTATATTGAATTGGGGCCTGGTTGGGTTTGGAAGGGCAAAGAGAGAAAGAATTCAAAGGTTGTACGTAGAAATTCATAGTGGCTGGGCATAGTGGTTCATGCCTGTTATCCCAACACTTTGGGAGGCTGAGGCAGGAGGATCACTTGAGCCCAGGGGTTCGAGGCTACAGTGAGCTGTGATCGTGCCATTGCACTCAAGCATGGGTGACAGGACATCTCTAAAAATAAAAATAAGGAAATGAAGCCTGGGTGCGGTGGCTTATGCCTGTAATCCCAGCACTTTGAGAAGCTGAGGTGGGCAGATCGCCATAGGTCGGGAGTTCAAGACCAGCCTGGCCAGCATGGTGAAACCCTGTCTCTAATAAAAATACAAAAATTAGCTGGGTGTGGTGACAGGCGCCTATAATCCCAGCTACTTGGGAAACGGAGGCAGGAGAATCGCTTGAACCCAGGAGGCGGAGGTTGCGGTGAGTGGAGATCACACCATTGCACTCCAGCCTGAGTGTGAGACTCCGTCTCAAAACAAAGCAACAACAAAAGGAATGCAGATAGAGATAAACATCAAACTGTCCTCGGGATGTAGAGTTGTGTCCAGGAGTCCAGGCACTTTCTCCTTTGCGTTAGTTAAACTACATTGTAATTATCTGACCTGTCTGGGGGACCATGTCTCATTCATGTTTATATTTCCAGAAATTCTCTGTCTGACACTGTGCCTTCTCAGTCAAAATTTGTTGAATGACATTGACTTTTCATGTTCCAGGGAGAGAAGAAATGTCTTCTATGTCCTTGGCTTCCTGTCCATTCAACTACATTCCTTTTTCTTTTTGTCTTTATCAGGTTTTCTCACTGGATCTCTGAATACCCAGGCCCCCTCCACTATGGCCAGCCGGGGTGGGGGCCGAGGTCGTGGCCGGGGCCAGCTGACCTTCAACATGGAGGCTGTGGGCATTGGGAAAGGGGATGCTTTGCCCCCACCCACTCTGCAGCCTTCTCCACTCTTCCCTGTGAGTCTCTTCACTCCCTTCCCAGACTCTCATGTGCCCCTGGCCGACTACATGATTCTGGGTTCCTCCCAGACCATCATAAAGTCACTCTGGGAGGCCGAGGTGGGTGGATCACCTGAGGTCAGGAGTTCGAGACCAGCCTGGCCAAAACGGCAAAACCCATCTCTAGTAAACATACGAAAATGAGCTGGGCATGGTAGTGCATGCCTGTAATCCCATCTGCTCAGGAGGCTGAGGCAGGAGAATCACTTGAACCCGGGAGATGGAGGTTGCAGTGAGCCGAGATAGCACCTCATCTTGCCCCTGTCTGTCTCTGTACTCCCAATGCACGGGGGATGTTTTGGAGGCAAAGAAGTGTCCACCTTCTCCCTAGCTTTCGAAATGATATGTTACTCCCCTCATTCTCTTTTGGCCTCTGCTCAGTGGGTGTATTAGATTAAATTGGGAGGAGGGTCCTCCCAGGTGTGTACCAGCAGTTTCTCCCTGAACTGACTACTGCCCTGCCTCTTTAGCCCCTGGAGTTTCGCCCAGTACCTCTGCCCTCGGGAGAGGAAGGGGAGTATGTCCTGGCACTGAAGCAGGAGCTACGAGGAGCCATGAGGCAGCTCCCCTACTTCATCCGGCCAGCTGTCCCCAAGAGAGGTCAGTGGGAATGCCAGCATCGTATCCTGAGTGTCTTCCCCGGGCAGTGCCCTGTGCTCAGCACCACTGCGGGCCAGAGAGGCACAAGAAGTGTACTGTGTAACTGGGCAGATGACAATGGTTACTTCCGTGTTTGAAATGCATTATAGTTTCCACGGTTTGTTTTGAGTCTCATAATAGTCTTGGTACAGTGGGTGGTTAAATACTAAAATCCCATTGTACATGTATAAGTGGGGGGATGTATTTTCTAAAAATTTATATATTTTTAATTTTTTTGTAAAACAGAGATGGACGTCTTCTTATGTTGCCCAGGCTGGTCTTGAACTTCTGAGCTCAAGAGATTCTCCTGTCTTGGCTTCCCAAAAGTGCTAGGATTACAGGCATGAGTCACCAACCCCAGCAAAATGTTTAACTATCTGGATATCACAGCCACCAACCAACAAGGGAAGACAGACCCTGGTTTCTTTTTTTTTTTTTTTTTGAGACAGAGTTTCACTGTTGTTACCCAGGCTGGAGTGCAATGGCGCGATCTCGGCTCACCGCAACCTCCGCCTCCTGGGTTCAAGCGATCCTCCTGCCTCGGCCTCCTGAGTAGCTGGGATTACAGGCGTGCACCACCATGCCCAGCTAATTTTTGTATTTTTAGTAGGAACGGGGTTTCACCATGTTGACTAGGATGGTCTCGGTCTCTTGGCCTCGTGATCCACTCACCTCAGCCTCCCAAAGTGCTGGGATTATAGGCGTGAGCCACCGTGCCCAGCCCAGACCCTGGTTTCTTATTCCCTACCACACTTTCCACTACACCATACTCTTTCTTAATACAGCCATGCCTTGAACTAAGGGACGGAAAAAAAACCAAAAACATCGTGGCCAGGTGTGGTGGCTCATGCCTATAATCCCCGCATTTTGGGAGGCTGACACGGGTGGATCACTTGAGGCCAGGAGTTTGAGGCCAGCCTAGCCAACATGGTGAAACTTTGTCTCTACTGAAAATACAAAAATTAGCCAGGCAATGTGCCTGTAGTCTCAGCTACTCAGGAGGCTGAGGTGCAAGAATCGCTTGAACCTGGGAGGCAGAGATTGCAGTGAGCTGAGATCTCGCCATTGCATTCCAGTCTGGGTGACAGAGCAAAACTCTGTCTCAAAAAAAAAAAAAAAAAAAATGGCCGAACACAGTGGCTCAGGCCTGCAATCCCAGCACTTTGGGAGACTGAGGCAGGTGGATCACCTGAGGTCAGAAGTTCGAGACCAGCCTGGCCAACATAGTGAAACCATGCCTCTACTGAAAATACAAAAAATTAGCCAGGTGTGGTGGCAGGCACCTGTAATCTCAGCTACTTGGGAGGCTGAGGCAGGAGAATCACTTGAACCCAGGAGGCAGAAGTTGCAGTGAGCCGAGATTGTGCCATGGCATTCCAGACCAGGAAACAGTGCAAGACTCCCTCTCAAAAAAAAAAAAAAAAAAAAAAAAATTAGCCAGGTATGGTGGCATGCGCCTGTAATCCCAGCTACTTGGGAGGCTGAGGCAGGAGAATTGCTTGAACCTGGGAGGCAGAGGCTGCAGTGAGCCGAGATCACGCCACTGCACTCCAGCTTGGGTGACAGTGCCAGACTCTGTCTCAAAAAAAAAAAAAAAAAAAAGAAGAATGATAAGGTCCTCACTGAAGCTGACCCCCTGGGCTCTGGGTTTGGGGTAAGGGGACAGATAATTGCTGAGTATTGACATGGCTGGACTCTCAGGGACAACCCTGTTCTGGGTCTCTGATAAAACTTTGATCCTTCCACCCTTCAGATGTGGAGCGGTATTCAGACAAATACCAGATGTCAGGTCCCATTGACAATGCCATCGACTGGAACCCTGGTAGGTGATGGGCCCTTTCGTTGACTGCCCTTCTTTCACATGCTGGAGATGCTTCAAGCCATTGCCATCACCCCCATGTCCCCACCCCACTCCCCCATCCAGCATCTGCAAGCTAGAGCCTTAATTCTGTTCTAAAATACTCTCAGATTCTACTTGGAAAAGCTATTCAACAGTTCCCACTAAGGAGATATCCAAGCTACAGTTTTGTTCTGAACAACTTGGACCCAGCCCCTTTCTTCCTCTCCTTTGAAACCATCAATCACCCCCTTTAAAACCAGTCATCATTCGTTGGAAAGCCCAGGCAGGGTCCTATTGACATTTACATTCCCACTATTCCCAGATTGGCGGCGTCTACCCCGGGAGCTAAAGATCCGAGTGCGGAAGCTACAGAAGGAACGTGAGTGTATCTGGAAAAAGGCGGGAGAAGAGAGGTTTCCTCCATCAGCCTGAGAGCCAAGGCTGCTATGGTCTCACCTTCCCTCGCAGTTGCTAGACCCATCTACCCAGTGTTGTTGCTAGACGTCATGGTGGCCACATGAGGGCAGCAGAGTGACATGTTCTTTGCAGGAGGATGGGGTAAAAATTTGCTCTCTGATGGTTCACCTTTTGATCCCCCACCAGGGATTACGATTCTGCTTCCAAAGAGGCCCCCTAAGACCTCGGAAGATAAGGAGGAGACAATACAGAAACTAGAGGTGAGGAGGAAGTGTGCACAGAGCCCTCCTGAGCCCTGGATCTGTTCCCTCTCTCTTGGCCCATGTGTGCCTCCATTTCCCCTCCTGTGAACTGAATCTGAGTTTCTGTTCCTATTCATCCCCCACCTGAGACCCTGGAGAAGAAGGAAGAAGAAGTAACTTCAGAGGAAGATGAGGAGAAGGAGGAAGAAGAAGAGAAGGAAGAGGAGGAAGAAGAAGAGTATGATGAGGAAGAACATGAAGAGGTGAAGGGGACTCCTTCCACCTTAGCCCCCCTCCCTTTACCCCGTGAACTCTGGGGATCTCAACTCTTTACACCAGGGATGCTCCCCTCAGAGGGCTGGCATGCCAACAGAGATGGCGCCCCCCGCCCCCCACCACTGGGTAGGGGCTTCCCTCCACTTCATCTCTCCCTTCTCCAAACTGCAGCTGGAAGAGACATCTCAGGCCTGGAATGTGTGACGGGGAGGAAATGGGTCTGGTACACAGGAAGGGAGGTGAATGCCGAAAGCAGGCTTGACTTTTACTTATTGTTTTTCCATTTCAGGAAACTGATTATATCATGTCATATTTTGACAACGGAGAGGACTTTGGGGGAGACAGTGATGACAATATGGACGAGGCTATCTACTGAAGAAGGACTCGGACCCTCGTATGTTTCTTGAGGATGCAGAGTAGCTGTCCCTATTATTTGGTTTATCGGACAAACAAATCATTTGGTCAGAGTTCACATAATCTGTCTGGTCCCTGGAGATGGGAATGGAGGATGATGACATTTTATTTTCTCTGCTTCCCCTCCTTCCACGTTTGTATCACCTCTGATATCTTGGGGAAAGTGCAAAGGACAAATATGTCAGTTGCATGAAAGGAGAAAGGAGAAGTGAAAGAACTGGGGTTGTTAGAGCTGAGATGGCTCTACCCCTACCCAGTTTGTATAACTCTTTGTGGAGATCATTAGGGCTGGGAGCAGTCTGAAGGAGTAAGACTGGTTTTATATTTTTAAATAAAGTGTTTTTCTCTGTCTCTCTGTCCTGGGTGAGGCCTGGTGAGGGAGGGCTGGAGGAACCAAGGGAATGCCTAACTGAGCAGGGTCCAGTGTGACACAGTGGAGGGCCACAGCCCTTGTCCTTCGTCCCTTCCCTTCTTCCCCCATGGTGGGACACAGAGTCACAATCCGGCCCCCCTTGAAAATCCGGGGATATTCAAGACCTCATCTGTAGGGCTATGAAAAGTAAGTCGTAGAAACAGCCTCTGCCCCCTGCAGACCAGCTGACTTCTGAGCCTCTGGTCCTCGGGCCTCGAGGACATGATTGTGTCTGTTCACACATGTTCACAAGGACACAGGCCCTGTCTTTGCCACACTTGACCTTGATCTTGTCCTTTTTTACAAAGGATGATTACAGCTATAAAAATGAAAAAAAGAAAAAACAGGATTGTATCTATTTTTGTGGGGAAAGTCAAGAAAACCAGATATGAGGAAGGAGGAGGAGCTGACTTAGCCAGCATACTCCCTCTTCTCCCAGATCCTGGCGATGCCACTTTGAAAGGCATGTCTCTGCAGAGGGAGCCCCTAAATATCCTGTTCTCCAGTTACAGAAACCAGTGTGTGGCTGAGTTGCAATTCTCTTTTGGTTTTCCCTTTGTGGAATTTAGTTAGCTTTTCTCCCTTTCTTTGGAGGAAGGGAGGTAGGCGGTGGTGTTTTACAGGAAGTAAGGAGGGTGGGGAGGAAGGGAGTGACTTAGGGACACTCACAGATCTGAGAGGTGCTGTCTCGCCCACATAGCTCTCCCTTGTGTGAGGTCACTTTCCAAGGCTCTGATTGGCTTCTGAGGAAGTCTTAGATGAGCTGATTGGTTCCAACCACTTGACATGCAACAGTCACGGGCAAGCTGCGTGTCCAGAATAGGAACTGAATCACTTCATGCTATCATAGCAACCCTGCTGAGCATTTGAAAGTAAGAAGGGATATAGAAAAACCTTCAAAAAATTCCCCAACTGTACTCGGACAGGCCGACTGAATTCCCTGCAGCATCCGGTGATAGAGACTGGGAATCTGAGGTTGAATGCGTCGGACCCCATTGTACAGAATGAAAAAAGGCTGGGACTCTACTGAGAGAAAGCACATTAAAAGCCTAGTTCGGCTGCGCCAGTGTTTACACAGAAGCAGTGGCAGGCGTCATGGCTCCAGCCTGTAAGCCCAGCAGTTTGGAAGGATGAAGCGGGAGGATTGCTTGAAGCCAGGAGTTTGAAACCAGTCTAGGCAACAAAGTGAGACCCTGTCTCTACAACAAAAATATTTAAAAATCTTTAAACTAGCTGAGTGTGGTGGCGCTCCTTAGCAGTCCCAGCTACTAGGGAGGCTGAGGCAGGAGGGTCCCTTGAACCCTGGAGTTTGAGGCTGCAGTGAGCTATGATTGCACCACCGTGCTCCAGCCTGGGCAGCAAAGCAGTAACCTGTCTCTAAGAAAAGAAAACAAGAGTAGAAGCAGCGAAGGAAACAGGAATAGAAACAGAACATTCCAGAGTCATTGAGCAACCTGCGATGATTGATGTGTTTCCTTTTTTAGTCCTCCTGAGGTGTGTCGAGTGGCAGGAAGGAGATAGGGGACCTGCCACTGGGGTTTCCCAAAGCTGTGCTTCAGCCTGTGATTATAGCTGCGGGAGATCAGCAAAAACAAAAGTAAAAGATACTGAGAATGTTCCTTTTGCATTGTTTCCCGCATACACGCACCGAGTCCTAACCTGCTCAACTATATGTGTCTACGCTGGGGGGCACAGCCATCCCATAAAGCCCACCAAATGTCAGCCTGGGAACTTAAAAGGGTGGGGACAAAGAAGATTCTGGAAAAGCAGCAGTAGAGGAGGACTGGACCATGTCCCGACCCTTACCTCTACCCACACACATCCTTTTCCCATGCACCCGGGGAAATGAGGACAGAGGTTGGAGTACCACTTGGGATCAGTTGCACTACTTCAAAGTGTCAGAGAGATCAGACCATTCTTGGACTCTGCCGTCTGCAGGTGACCTTGCTGGACAAAGCCAGGGACACGGGACCCAGCAGCTTTCCCAGATTCTGAAGTGGTTCCAGGCATGAGCTGGACTTGTTTCCATTGACCTTTCCCCTGCTTTCCATAGGTACTATCGGGCAGGCCTGAAGCCACGGCCTAGTAAATGGGGTCACGGTTCCTATTCCCTTTGGAGGACCCTCTGAGAGGTTAGGGGTGAGACCCTGCTTGCGGACATTTACAGAGGACCTATGCAGTGATGCTCGGTCCGACACTACTCACCTGGTAGGGGTTACATTGAACAGATTGCTGGCATGTGTACAGCCTGGGTTGCACTGGCCCCAGGTAGGGTGGGTTCTCTGTCAGTAATCCTTTCCTGGGCCATGGTGACTCCCACCTGCAATCCCACCACTGTGGGAGGCTGAGGTGGGAGGATTGCTTGAAGTGAAGAGTTCTAGACCAGCTTGGGGCAAATAGTTTGTCTAAGGAGGGGAGGGAAGGGGAGAGGAGGGTCGGGTCAGGTCGAGTCGGGTCCTATCTTTCTCTATGCTATGTTCCATCCCTCGCCTCTTGATTCCCTCCCATCTCGGGTGGGCAGCTTAAGAGGGGTCTGCAAACAGGCTCAGTGGCTCAAGTGATTTGAGGGAGGCTAAATGGCATGGCAGAGGTAGAAGTAACATGCAGTTTAGATGGGAGTGGAGGCCAAAGAAAATTGGAGGGTCAGATGAATAAGGTAATTGGGCACCTATAGTTTGTTAAGGAAAAGACAGTTCTTTTCCTCAATTTGTTTTCTTAGAGACAGCGTTTCACACTGTTTTGTGGTCGTGCTTTCACTAGTCCATAGCTTTGTACCCTTGGGAAAGTCATGTAAGTCTCCACGCCTCAGTATTCCTCGTGCGTGAAATACAAATTTGGACCAGACTTGTCCACTAGGAGCCCTTCTAGTTCTCACATAGTAGGGCTTCTGCTGATCCATCTGTGAGAATAAATGGCCTGAGAACAAAGGCAGGCTGTGCCTAGCTTTGGCTGAACACGTTCCATTTGGCTGGATTTCCCCACCTTATTTTCGGCCCAGGCAGACTAAAGATACCTCAGGCTTCTGGCCAGCCGTTTCCAAGAACCTGCTTCAGCTTGGGTAGCAAGATCAGCAATTCCATCAACTCGCATGAGAGGGACACTCCCTACAGCAGAGTTCAAGGTCACAGTCTGCAAAGCAGGACTCAAACAGGCCACCAACAGATTTCTGAGTGAAGAAGGGGCTGCTGGGCAGGTCCTCTTCATCTCCCCTCCTGTATCATGTCCAGCCGGAGGATGGAGAAGAGCAATGAGCTCAATGGGAATAGTTCCACTAGCTAATCTGGTCAAACTGCAGTGAACCTCTTCTCCACTGACCTTGCCCGGACTGGGGCTCACATTTCCTCAAGGTCATTTGGGACCACAAAGCCGGAAATAAGTTCTAGCTTCCTGCTGTCACCTCGGAAAGACCTGTGGCTCATCTCCAGCAGCCTTTAATTTGCCTCTTTGTATCTAGGAAACAAGGGAGGTCCCCCTCCTAACCCTATCGGGAGCCAGCGGGAAGACTGATTCAACTTAATGGCAGGACCTTAACGGCCACGTGCTCTCACCTTGGGAAGCCAAGATGTTGGGGAAAGAATCCAGAGAGTCCTCAGGCCTGATCTCAACCAGTGCAGGAAGGGGCTAGGTCCCCATGACCTCAGAGCGTGGGATTATTCTCCACTCTAAACCTCTCCTCCTCCCAGGATCCTCAGCTTTGGGCTGTGCTCCCAGCCCCTTCCTAGGTGTTTCCTATCCTTGTAATTCCACATTGATCTTGCTTTACAGTAGAGAAAGGGGGAAAATAGCCAAATCCTGTCTCTCAGATTCTTTGGTAGCCTCAGCGCAGTGTTGATAATATTGGAAAGGAGGGAGTTAGTCAGGGCTACTTTTGTCTTACCAAAAGGGGGCAGCGGGAAGAAACCTACCCAAGTTAGGGGTGCAGATTCGAGGTGAGAGTAGGTGGAGTCCCATCCAGACAGGGAAAGAAGCCGTGGTACTCATCCTCCTCAGGCTCTGGTATGACCAGAGATGTAGCCACTTTGGAGAAGAAATTCCCTTGTCAAAGGAGGTCAATTTCATGTTTTTACCTCATTTTTCTTAGGCGGAGAGATAAGAGGAAGTGAAACAACAAACACGGGCTCAGTGGGCGAAAGGGCAAGAGGTGATCAGCGCTCCTCCAAGCCTTCCATTTCCTTTCCCAAGCCTCTTTCCTGGCGCCCACACAGTCTTTCTCATCTGACCATACTTGGCTGCTCTGGGTCCCTCACCTCTCCCTTACTTGGCTTGGCTCCTGTTTTGCGTCTTACTTTCTACCGGAGCCTCCACACTGACACCTGTCCGGAGCCATCAGGGATGTTTACTCACTTCTCAGTGGCCAGACTGGGCCAGGCCTGGAGGGGCTGGCTGAGGACCAGACGGAGAGCTTATCACTCAGACGCATACTTGTTGTGTTTCGAATTCTTTTCCTCTTTTCCACTCTTTCTCCATGTCTTTTCTCCATGTCTCTCTCTGCATCATGCCTTTATACGGTGCTGTTTAAATTGGATTATTCCTGGGGTGATATGGTGAGGACTATTTGGAGCCACGGAATACACAGGGCACATCTTCCAGAGTGTTAATTTTACTTTTAAGATTTGCTGGGGGAAGATAAATCATTTTTATACTAAAACCAACACAAATATATTATGCAGTGTAAATCAAAATTTGCATTTTTTTTTTTGAAGATAAAATAGGTACTTCAAAGACATTTCACCAGGCGCGGTGGCTCATGCCTTAATCCCAGCACTTTGGGAGGCCGAGGCGGGCGGATCACGAGGTCAACAGATCGAGACCATCCTGGCCAACATGGTGAAACCCTGTCTCTATTTTAAAAAAACAAAAAAGACATTTCTGGTTTATGACAGTCTACTTTAGACTGCTCTGGGAGCCCTGGGGAAAATGGTTCACTCTCTTGTATCTTAGGGGTCCTGCAGAGGAAATATTTGAGAAACTCTGCTTAGAGCAGAGGTAACAAGCATAGACAAACCTGAACACTAAACAGGAGTCAGGCAGACATAAAAGATCATAGCAGGCGAGTGTGATGCGCCAGAGAATGGTGAGAACTGGCAAATCAGAGCTTGCCCAGCCGCTTCAGCTCCAGCTGCTTGATGCTGGGAAAGGATGTGACTCAGTGTTACCAAATCTGACCGCTTTTTAAGAGACACCAGAACTGTAGATTTTAGTGAAATCGGATTTTTAATTATTTTATTTATTTATTTATTTAGAGATGGAGAATTGATTGCTCTGTCACCTAGGCTGGAGTGCAATGGTGTGATCTCCGTTGACTGCAACCTCTGCTTCCCCGGGTTCAAGCGATTCTCCTGCCTCAGCCTCCTTAGTTGCTGGGATTACAGGCACGCGCCACCACACCCGGCTAATTCTTTGTATTTTTAGTGAGATGGGGTTTCACCATGTTGTCCAGGCTGGTCTCAAACTCCTGACATCGTGATCCACCCGCCTTGGCCTCCCAAAGTGCTGGGATTGCAGGCGTGAGCCACCGTGCCCCTGATTTCCTGCCTCTGTTTTAGTGTTTCCTCCAGCTTTGCTTTGGTTCGTCATCAGCTAAAATCAAGGCAAAGGAAGAGAAACATGAACCACCGTGTGATCTCCCTTCCCTAAGTGCATTTCCCCGCCGGCTTCCCAGCAGCTCTGGAGCCCTTATGTGAGGGATTTTCTCCTCAACTCACGAAGCAATGGGGGCAGTATCAGAAATGGTGTTGAGATATAGGAAAGAACAAGAGGAAAGGACGAAGCAGTCTTTAGGTATAGAGGGTATTCGGTTTAAAGAGAAGACCAAGGGAGGATAAAACCCCAAATAGGGAATTATCATAATTTTTGTCTTTCCTTCCTCGCTTTCATTCCTCCGTCACTGTCAAAAAGATATTCTGAACTTGCTAATGATCGACCTCTCTCCCTTCCCTTCCACCTCGAGGGTGACCTAATTTTCCCACACCAGAGACAGCAGATCTGGTCTTGTCACACTTGGTCACCATTTCCAACCTCTCTGACCTACACGATCATTTCTTCTTCTTTGCAAAAGTGTATGACGCACAGGCCGGGCTTCCATGGAGTCAAATTCTGTTCCCGAGAGTTGGGGGCAGTGGGATGCCTGAGGTTGCAGGAGAGTTTGGGCAGAAGCCTCTGTTGCAGAGGCTGCAGAGAAGCCTCTGAGTGTCTGAGTACTACAGGCAGAACTACACCTATCTCTAGGGGCAGCAAAAGAGCCATTGGTCCCTGCCCAGCCACCCTCTCCTGATCTACAGGGCTCTGAAGGTAAAACAGAAACCAGAGTTTCCTCAAAGCTGGAAGGTAAGGCAAGCATGAAAGGGAATAAAGAGGCCGGGCGTGGTGGCTCACACCTGTAATCCAAGCACTTTGGAGGCCAAGGCAGGCGGATCACCTGAGGTTGGGAGTTCAAGACCAGCCTGACCAACATGGTGAAACACCATCTAACAAAAATAAAATAAAATAAAGAAAGGGAATAAAGAGAAATGGGAGCAGGAGACAAAGGATTAGCCTTGAGTCTGGCTAGATGGAGGAAGTCAGAATCAGACAGGAGAAGTGAAGAGTAAGGGATTTTTTTTTTTTTTTGAGGTGGAATCTCGCTCTGTAGCTTAGGCTGGAGTGCAATGGCACAATCTTGGCTCACTGCAACCTCCACCTCCCAGGTTCAAGCGATTCTCCTGCCTCTGTTCCTGAGTTGCTGGGATTACAGGAGCATGCCACCACACCCAGCTAATTTTTGTATTTTTAGTAGAGACGAGGTTTCACCATGTTGGTCAGGCTGGTTTCAAATTCCTGACTTCGTGATCCGCCTGCCTCGGACTCAAGAGGGAGGGATCTATACACAGAACCATATAAGGGAGGCACAAATGTTGGCCAGGCATGGTGGCTCATGCCTGTAATCCCAGCACTTTGGGTGGCTGAGGCAGGTGGATCACCTGAGATCAGGAGTTCGAGGCCAGCCTGGCCAACATAGTGAAACTCCATCTCTACTAAAAATATAAAAATAGCTGGGTGTGTTGGCAGGCGCCTGTAATCCCAGCTGCTCAGGAAGCTGAGGCAGGAGAATTGCTTGAACCTGGGAGGTGGAGGTGCAGTGAGCCGAGATGGTGCCATTGCACTCCAGCCTGGGCGACAGAGTGAGACTTTGTCTCTCTAAAAAAAAAAAAAAAAAAAAAATGGGGAAGCACAGTTCCCATGCCCCTGAGTATGTATCCCCTCCCCTCTGAGCAACTGAAATCCGTGCTTTATCCATCTGTCCAAGAGGTTAAAAATATCAAGGCTGGGAACCCAGCCAGACATTTCCAAGAACCTGTTTACTGACCATTCGATTAAGTATAACTGTCAGCAACTTCATAGCCCAACAAGGACTCAGAATGGGCCTTGCCTGACAGCTCAGGACTCAGGGCACATGGAATTCACAGTCTCGTCCATTTGTTTTCCCTGTCTTCTTTCTCCCATCACTCTGTTGCCTGGAGATGACTGATCAGTTGATAGTCAGAGTCTGTTCATTCTTTTCTCCTTACACAACGAGCCCAGCCGAGAGTGGGGAAGGGTCAAAGAAAGGGAAAGGTCAAGACAGAACAAGAAGAGCCTAAATAGGCTAAACTGGGCGTCATCCGTGGGCACACCTCCACTTACCTTTGCGCTGCTCAGTCCAGCCCGCCTCACGGAAAAAAATCAAATGGGAGGCAATACCTCAAAGAAAAGGTCTGAAAGTCCTGTGGCATCACATTGTACATCCAGCACCCTCATTCCTCGGTTTTTCACTCCAAATGGTGGGAAACTTTTCTTTGGAGTTGTATACTGAAAAGTTAAGAAAGCTCAAATAATTTTTAGGTTACAGGGTTTACTCCACAGGCTTGTGAAGCACACTGGGAGTGTGAAAAAGAAAACCCTGGGGCCAAGTGGGTGCTGCGACTCACTCCTGTAATCCCAGCACTTTGGGAGGCTGAGGCAGGCAGATAGTTTGAGCTGAGCTATCTGGAGTTCGAGACCAGCCTGGGTAACATGGCACAACCTCATCTTTGCTAAAAATAAAACAATTGAGCCAGGCATGGTGGTATGTGCCTGTAATCTCAGCTACTCAGGAGGCTGAGGCATGAGAACTGCTTGAACCCAGGAGGAGGAGGTTGCTGAGATCGCCCTACTCCACTCTAACCTGGTGACGAAGTGGCATTATTTCTCAAAAAAAAAACAACAGTGAATTATTCAAGAGGGTGATGAGGGATATGTCTCTTTTATTTTCGATAACAATCACTTATTTGGCATTGTTCTAACTTTTTACATATATATATATATTTTTTTTTTAATCAACTTTATTTTTTTAGGTTTTTATTTTTTTTTATTTTTTTGAGACAGAGTCTTGCTCTGTTACCAGGCGCCAGGCTACAGTGTAGTGACGCGATCTCAGCTCACTGCAACCTCCACCTCCTGGTTTCAAGCAATTCTCCTGCCTCAGCCTCCCGAGTAGCTGGGACTACAGGCATGCACCACCACACCTGACAATTTTTTTTAGTATTTTTAGTAGAGATGGGGTTTCATCATGTCAGCCAGGCTGGTCTTAAACTCCTGACCTCAGATGATCTGCCCACCTCAGCTCCCAAAATGTTGGGATTACAGGCGTGAGTCACCTCGCCCAGTCTATTTTTTCTTAATAGTATGGGAAGGCTAATCTTTGAACCTTTTCGAGGTTCTAGACTTCTCTATTGAGCCAGAGCTGCAGCCTTGGATCTTTAGCTATCTCTGAAAAGGAGTTTTTCAGCTTACAAAATGAAGGTGGCTATGAGGTCATAACAGAAGAGACAAAAATCTTTCCATCTCCCATACCTGAACTACTGAGGCCAGGGTGCCTGGGGC